CTGATTTAATTTGAATGTTTTCTATAATAATGAATACATTTATAATAATGCAATCAATTGTAGGGTTAATTCATATATGAGTTTATAAGATATGAATTAAATTATTGGCAAATAATTATTGTTCACATGATTTGGATTGCATTTACACTAACCAGAGATGCGTTGACTTTCAAATCAATTGTATATTAAATTGTATTAAATGAACGATAATTTATTTGAATTGCATTTTATTTACACTGATTTTATTATTTCAATTACAAATGTATTTTTTAAAATAATCTTTGATTTAATATTTTGTAAATCTTTTATATAAATAAATATAAACAATAATAATGAAAGCATTAATTATAATGTGGTGTCCATTGATTGTCTTGTTATGAAATCCACACAATTATTGCCAAATAACTATTGTTCACATGATTTGCATTGCGTTTACACTAACCAGAGATGCGTTGACTTTCAATGTGTTTGCGAAACAAACTATAGATTCAATAAATTGTCACAAATTTGTGAACAATTTGTCTGTAAATCAGACGACGAGTGCGTGAATGGAGGCAACGATGGGAACAAATATTGTGATCCATACACTCTAAATACTAATCATTGGAGATTGGTTTATTTACCAGTTCCTGCTAACAAAAGGGAGATATTTGCGTACGAGTGTAGGCTAATAAATTTATGAGTGTAAACTAATATATCAGTTATAACTAGTATTTTAAATACAAGCAGAGATTCATATAAAATTGATTCAAGGCTAGTATTAAGTTGAGCCATGACTAATAGAAAAACCATTTAAGGCTAATATAAAAACAAATCAAGACTAGTAAAATCCATTTATAAACGTTATTGATTTTATTACTTTATAATACAATACATCCTAATTACATACATTTGATTTTCATATACAAGTGTTTTCATATTATCATTTGATTGATTTGTTAAAACTATCATAACAATCAAATTAATTACAATAAGGCAATCTAAATCTTCGGTGATCATTATATTTGTTGCGAATCATGGTCATCAGCGATCCCTTAAATACAAATACAATTAATTATTATTAATAAATATTAATGCTGTGATAGCGCTATCATAACATTAATGATTACATTTTCGATCCATTACTGAATGATATACTGTAGATATAAGTATGAATTAGTCAGGTCTATACATTATTCAGTTAAATTACATACCTTTGAAATGTGACAATTAATTAATAAAACCCAAATCATTCAATATGTTTTCTACTTTAATAAATGTGCGGCCGTTGTGGTATCAGCAATTGATTGTTATTTTGTATGATAGCGCTATCATACAATACATCGCTAATGTGCTGCCCTCAAACTACACCAAATTGATTTACAAAAACCTATTCAAAACTGGTTTATTAGTTAAAAATGGTTTTATAGTTAAAAATACTAGTTTCTGCTGGTATACCAGTTTATACTTGTAAATTGTTTTTTCAGTGTATGTAGACCACGTTTGACATGAGTCCCATCGGTCGCCGCAATCGTTGGTCATATTGGTTGCGGTCTCTCAACAGTCCCAACCGTTTGTCACATATCTGTCGGCCATTCATAACATATGATATACTCGTAGACATCGCCGGTGTTTGCCATCGGTTTGACGACCTGTTGGTTGGTATCGACGGCACGAATGGACTCATAATCCGACACCACTTCGCTATCCATCGCGTGTCCACTCATGTCATCGCCGGTCACTTCCAGTATCTGTTTGTCAATCATATGAGTGTTGAGGCGACGGATCAGTTGCGGTGATAATTGACTGACAATTGATGTGTTGTTTGTGTTGACTGTTTGTCACAACACGTGATCTCACACTCAATGCATGCAAACAATGATTGCAATACTTTTTGGACTAAAAATATATTACGAAATGATTTATAGCTTAAAAACCGTTGCTTTGAATGCAATATAAATAGAGTTTTGTTGAAAGCATTCATTCATTAATACAAACATTGTTTATGTGTTTCTCATTTCAAACGCATATCTATTGTCTGTTTTAACGTTAAATCTGTTTATTTGTACATAAATTGAGTCAAACATTTTGCCCCCAATTGTCATACAATAGACAGTTATTGACAACAACTGTACGAAAACACAACTATTTTCTTACATTTGTTTTGTTTTGATATCAGTTTTGTTTGAAATAAATTGATTGTAATTTATTTGAGTTTTAAGACAATTGTATTCAAAACTGACTATAAATATGCGGCTCTTCGGCGCTTTCATCAAAGGCTCGGGTTTGAGGTATGGATTGATTAATGCATTCAATGGACACTCAATTAATACTAATCATAATTGCATTTCATGTAAACCAATGGCAAACAGGTCTTCAGCGCTGGCGTCGGTGGCGATCATTGGATCAAATCGTTGTCTCAATCGTCGGTCTAATCAATCCATACCATCGATGACCGCAACAGACATGTCGTCCGCCTCTCGACGTGCTCTCAATGTTTTGGCCAATTCTTGCCATCAGATGACAGACATTGTGGTGAAGAAACGGATCCCAGTGTTGGCCAATCGTATCGCTGTTATTGTCGGCATTAGTGGTCGCGGGTCTATCGGAGCCGACACTACTACTAAGCCTATGGCAAAGTCAGATCCGGTTGTCTGTCTCGTGAGGCAACCGGTGCTGACTAGACTGCACCCGAAGGCGTTGAGTAATAACTATGCTTTACATGTAATCAATTGTCTCGCGATTTATACATAACTTATTTTCACAGTTAGTGGCGAAGAGATGGAGCAGTTGGACGGCGGTTACGGACTGATGGGCCGACTCTTACGAGGAGCTCAGTGTGTGCTCAGGGATGAGATCACTAATAAACGGAAGAGTAATAAAGTGATGGTTTGGTACAGGAATGACGACAACTGGTATTCAGTGGAAGAGCTCGTAGAGGACGGCGACGAACCCGACTCGAAGCGGTGGCTGAAATGGACGGACGACGTGTCCGCCGCCGACAAGAAACAGATAACTGATTGGATAAGAGATATAGACGCCGAACGGGTGCCCAGAGGGCGGTCGCGCAGACAACACATGCATCTAAGACTCGTCGATCACTTGAAGAGTTGGGCCCCAAAAGTCGGGACTTGGTTTCCATTGACGAGCGAAAAGTCCATCGAAGCCAGACCTAAGGTTTGTACCGTATTTCCTGACATTAGTGTTGTGTTAATAATTATACCGAATTAACGCATATTTACCGTATAAATAGGGGGATTTTCCGGCGCCCACTTCATTCGACTCCCTCTACTCGTTCTCGAAATATGGTATTTACTTTAAATTGTACTTTCTTTCGTCCGGAAGCGTCGGTTCATTAACTGACTCGACCGAAGATCTTAGAATCAGAAAATGTGAAAATTAATATTGTTTATAATATAAGTAATATTTTTTAAAGGCACACATTTTATACATTTGAATTGATATATTTTAAATAAATTACATTTAAATTGATTTCGAAATTTTTATTATACGTTATTTCATTAGGAGTTGTATTGAAAGTCAACGCAACTCTGATTAGTGTAAACGCAATGCAAATCATGTGAACAGTTATTATTTGCTAATAATTTAATGGATTTTATAAAAACCAATCAATTGACACAACAATTGAAATGTGTGTTTCGTTTACTAAGTTTACGAATAAATTATTTATTTATAATTTAAGCAATAATTAGTCTATCAATAGAGTCGTGAACACGACGTTTACTGTCACTACTTGTGAAACTGTTTAGCGATCAGACAATCAATTTGTGTGAATAGTGTGAACAACTTTTCGGGTTTAACGCCCAAAATAATCAAAATATTAGATTCAGATAAACCGGTCATTAAGTGTAGCGACGAGTGAGTAGTCGCCGAAACACTCGGCTGTATAGCTGTCCTCATCGACGGCCGACTTCTGAGCGCCGATCAAAACATCTCAAAAATACCTCAAATTATTGGATTTAAATGTTTTGTTGTGTTTTTCAACACATTTCTTGTATAATCCAATCACATGATTGCGAATAATGCGCTAAAGGGTTGACCCGAAACTGACGTAATGTCGGTATGAATTCATAAATGTAATAATTGTTTCCCACGTCTGATAGCCGTAAAAGCAATTGATATAATAATTACTATCAAAACATTGATTAATTAAATAAGTTTATTTTATTATTAAAATGTTTTCAATTCTTTTCAATTGCAATGTAAAATACAAACAATTTAGTCGATAAAAAATGTAAAACAAATTATCATAAAAACTAAAACAATTTGATACATATTTTCAATTAAATGTGAAAATCAACTAAAAATCAATTAAATTGATGACTGATTTCCCGACCCATCGCTGTCTAACATGTTATGATCCGAATCCGTACTTTTTTTTAACGATTTATTCACAACTTTAGTGTCTTTGGACTCTTCGTCCACAAACTCCGGACCAAACGATGTATCGGTTTTTGCTTTAAAAGTATCAAACATTTATAATTCATGCGTTAATTATTTGATTTAATATATCATAAATACCTCTCCGTTTATAACACAATCTATAACACAACCATATTATGAAAACTAATATTATAACCGTCGAAACCAATACACAACCAATTATGTAATATTCATAATATGAGACCAACACTTGATTTTGAACGCAAAACATTTGTTCAATGGTCTGTTTCAATGTAAAGTTTGTATCACTTAATAGTACTCTTTATAGATAACTATTAATTTCAACATGCATGACTGTTTATAAATATGACATATATTCAAATATGTTTTTCTATTAAACTAATGAATTGTATTGTGTCATTGTGTATGATATTGAGATGTGATTTTGTGACTAAATTATTTTCTGCACCTCTGGGTTGGGACAAAATTACGTCCACAAAATGACAAATTCAAGCATAAGTGCTTAAATAGTTTTAAGCATTTGCAACATTCAAGCATTTTGCATGATTAGATTTATGCATTTTTTTTGATGAAGGATTGTTACTCTGTATTGATTATTACAGTGGGTGGTGAGTGCGGGCGTCGCGGGCGCTAAACGGACGGCCCGTTTGGCTCAACCGGTAGAGCATATCGTTGACAGTCGGCCGACAGGACTGCCAATAATCGACGACAAACACATACAGGAAATCAATGAACAAAATCTGCATAAATTCAGACAATCCCTGAACAATGTTATACGCGTGCGATTTGATCGCATCTCTATAGACAGTGATATGCGTTAGGCGTAAACATGTGGTCAGAAACAACTCGCTGAACAGCAGGAATGAGAATACGCCAAACACCCGGTTCATCGACTCAGTCAACTTCACAGCATTATGCATACGTTGATAAAGTGTGTCGACTGACACTTGTAAGTTTTCCAGTGTATTGATTACATCCCTGTCCAACAGGTGAACAGCGTATGACACCTGTATTAAAAGCACCGGTATAGCTGTTAGCCAACCAAACATCGCCAGTGACCAGTAAATATAATAAATGAGAATTAGTTTACGTTCAGTATACACGTCAAACAATATGGTGATTGTCAGGTAGAGTGACCAGAATATAGTAAGTATTATACTCGCTGTTCGCACGCGTTTACCGTCCGATTCCGGCAATTGATCTTCAATTTCGCGCAGAATATTCTGGATTTCGCGTATTTTGTATTCAAAACACACATAAATCGTGGCGATTGTGGTTTGTTTAGTGACTATGGATGTGATAAACAAACTTTTATAAATGCTATCAAGTTATTGGTATTCTAGGATCAAGCGATACAAGTGATACAATTGTCCGGTAAATAATATCAATTTTACGAGTATTAATAAAACACATTTTGTGAAATGGGTGTTGTTTTTATCGAGTATACTGAATCCGTATACTTCATATATTAAATTTAATGGATAGTAAATGGATCTTGATGTCATATTTGAAAATATAATTTTATCAAAGATATACTAAATTGTACTATTATACATTTACAGTATATAAATTAAATGTTAATATAAAAGTGTAATAATTCTGACGTAATGTTTTCTATTTTAACTAGACTAATAACGATTTACATATTTTATCATGCAATCGATTTACTTGCACAGACTAATAATTATATATTTTCTAATCCACAAATGACATAATTAATGTTATTACATTTAACAATTTTTTTTATTTATATTTAATATCGATTGCTTCACAAATACTTCTATTGTATTATTATTTATAAATGAATTAAATGCTAATTAAAACTGTTTACAAATAAAATAGCTTTCAAATATTATAACATATAAGTTATAAGTAACCTTTGCTGTAAGAATATCGTAACCTTTGTTGGGTAATGCTAAGTCTATGGCAATGCTAATTTTATGAATAATGTTAAGTCTATGGACAATGCTAAATCAATGGGACTAATGCTGTCAACTAAAAATGTCACTATTAAATTTATAATTAACCACAATTCAGCTATGAATAATGTAGTTTATAGGATCATTCGCCCCCCCCCACTTGACGGCTACACTCATTTCAATAGCATTCAACAGCATTTGAATAAGTATTTAATCAATTAGTAATAAATTTTCATAATTACAACAATATGAAATAAATTATAAATTATTATTAAATCCATCACGGTGTTTAATCTGAACCATCATGCGTCTGACACTGGCTATTTGTACCAATGGATTATAATAGTCCATTTCCTATTGCATTAACAAATTCATAACAATTACATAAGCATGAGTAACTAGAAAACAACAATTAAAATCTAACCTTGGTCTCATCGCAGGCCACAAACTCATACCTACACAACAGCTTAACTAACGTATACTTGAGCTCTAATACAGCGAATCGCATACCAATGCAATTGCGCGGACCGGTAGAGAAGGGTAGGTATGTATACGGCTTAATATCATCTAGATTTTCCGGTAGGAATCGTTCCGGCTTAAATTCATCGGGGTCGACAAAGTGATCAGGGTCTAAATGCAGCGCCCAAATGGGTATTACAATAGACGTGCCTTTCGGCAGATAAATACCTTCTAAATACGTATCTTTCGTAAGCATTCTGTCAACTCTATTATAAACATAAACATTAAAAAACATTTACTTATTTAAATAACAAGTAGTAGTATTACAAGTGAGAACATGTGGTAACACTACTGACCGGCTGACCGAACAGTTAACTCTCATAACCTCTTTGATAAATGCATCCAAAAACGGCATTTTTTGCAACTTTTCGTAATCCATAGACAACTCATTGGTATCTTTAGTATACAGTGTGTTATGAATCTCGTGGACCAGTTTTGTTTGATACCAGGGTTTGAGCGCAAGTATGCGTGTTATTAGACACAACTGGGACGCAGTGGTCTCGTGGCCGGCGCCCAACATGTTAATCGCCTGACCAATTACCTCATCCTTGGTCAATTCTATACGCAAATACAAAAACAATCATGGTACATCAATAATTATTTTAAACAAAACGTTCAATGAATTTTAAACTACTTACTATCGAAAGCTTTATTAACGTTTACAGGAGGGGTCGGGTATGTGTCGGCCCATACGCTGGCATTTACCGAGTGCTGTAAAAAGTCGGCCACCTGTGCGTCGTTGGCCACCCGTTCGCCGATCACGTGATTCACAGTATCGCTGATTACTTGCATTTTTTTCGGGTCAAAGAAGGGTATGTCAACGAAGCGGCGTAAAAACGGCATATAAAACACCAGCCAATCGCGCACACCTTGGTCATTTTGAAACATTGTGATCACCGCGGTAAACAGAGAGTTATTCACAGGGTGATCAAGGGCGTTTGCGTCGGCACCGGCCACAGCTTTAGTAATCACGTCAAACGTAAACGAGTCGTAAACTGTCCGGAAGTCTACCACTTGACTGTCGCGGGCTTTCGGGTCCAATAGAGTGGCCAACCGTTCAAACGTGTCCGACATTATCGGTAGCATAGCTTTGATGCGTCCGGTGGTGAATGAGGTGGCGTGAAGTGCGCGCATACGTTTCCATAGCGGATAACGCGATAAAAATAGCCCTTTGCTCATTGGCTCGGAGTCCAAGGTAAGTTCCTAGGTGCGTTTATGTTTATATATGGTAATAATAATTTAATTTAAACATACTGTGATGTTATTATTGTTTAATTAAGTTTGAAATTATATTTGCAAATATTTTTAAAAAATAAATATTATAACAATTAAAATAATTATATTTAATCATGTTGAATGATTTAAAAATTACCCTATGGTTTGGGAAATGGTGAAAATTGGTGACCAATACTTTTCGTATAAGCTCGGGGTCAGTTATCGATAGACACGGCCTCAAACCCTCATAAAAACTAATAATATATAAATTTAAAAAATTAATTATTAAATCAAAATGACTTAATTTATTGGTTGTAATTAATAATCAAATACCCGACAACTTTTCCGTGTTTTTTGTGGCAATCATTGTCTGCAATATGAAAGGGTCGACCACTTCTGGCCGACCAGTCGGTCGGTATTCCCTGTCGTTTCCAAAACGTCCACTTTTGCCACAATAGGACTATTGTTAACACTATTGGCGATAGTATGAACAACACCGCTAATAACATGATTACCTTATTTAGGAAAAAACTATAACTTGTAATTTGTATAAGTTTAATGCTAATGAAATTAATTTATATAAAACTTTTTATATAATGCAGAACATTTATTATCTTAATCAGTTTAAATTAACACTAAACAGTTATGTATCTGGTCAATTTGTTTTTATGTTTTATGTCTGTCACGTTTATCAATAAGTAATCAAATATTTATATAATCTGAATTAACCTCAAACAAATATTTAAGGCATTATTGATAAAGTATTTTGATTAAGGAAAATTTATTTAAAATTAAGTCTATTGTATATACGTAAATATTTATATAAATGTACATTTGATTATGTTATATTTAATTATATTAATTATCTTAAAATCAAGGTCCCTCTTAATGATAAAATATTAACTCAAGCATAAAGATAATAACCTACACAGAGATATTTTGTTACCTAATGGCACCCAGCATTGAACCACTGCTTTGTAATTCATGTACTATTAATATCTTGGTAAATCAATAACCACGTCATTATAAAATTCCCCCCAATCTATCACACCACTCTCCTGATAATATTGACAATAACTATATATTTAGTTATACATGTTAAAATTTTAATTATGAATGTGGGATTTTAAAAGTTATATTATAAGTACAATATAATATAATGTAATATTTGTTAAAATAAATTACAATAATGCATTAAAATAAGTAATAAATTTATGGCTTAGTTTGCATTAACTGTATTAACATAACAGTAAACGTAACAACACTTCCGACAAAAGCAAATACAAAACGTCTGTCGATTGCAAACAAACCAAACGCACGGTATTTACGGTCGCAATAGCCGTACACTAACTGCTCGACCAATAGGTGGTGAGTGTGAGCGTCGCGGGCGCTGAACGGACGGCCCGTTTGGCTCAACCGGTAGAGCATATCGTTGACAGTCGGCCGACAGGACTGCCAATAGTCGACGACAAACACATACAGGAAATCCATAAACAAAATCTGTATGAATTCAGACAATCCCTGAACGACATTATATAACTGCGTTTTGACCACATCTTTATAGACAGTAATATGCGTTAAGCGTAAACATGTGGTCAGAAACAACTCGCTGAACAGTAGGAACGGGAATACGCCAAACACCCGGTTCATCGACTCATTCAACTTCACCGCTTTGTGCATACGTTGATAGAGAGTGTCGACTGGCAGTTGTAAGTTTCCCAGTGTCTTGATTACATCCCTGTCCATCAGGTGCACAGCGTATGATACATGTATTAACAGCATCGGTACGGCGGTTAGCCAACCAAACATCGCTAGTGACCAATATATGTAAAATAAGAGTTTTACTTTACGTTCGGTACACACGTCAAACATTATGTTAATTGTTAGGTAGAGTGACCACAAAATTGTAAGTATTATACTCGCTGTTTGCATACGTTTGCCCTCCGATTCCGACAATTCTTTAGCAATTTTGTGCAGAATATTCCGGATTTTGTGTAATTTGTATTCAAAACACATGTAAATTGTAACGATTATTATTAGTTTAATGATTACAGATGTGACAAACAAACTCGCGTAAATGTTACCAATGTATTGGTATTCGCAAATTAAATCATACAAGTGATACAATAGTCCGGTTAGCAAGATTAATTTGACGATGATAAATAATACTTGTTTTAAACAGTGTGTGTTAGTTTTATCTAATATATTAAATCCGTATAATTGATATATTATATTTAAAGGATAGTAAATGAACTCGGTGGCCATGTTTAAAAATATTTGTTAAAACACATCATCTGAATTTCAACATGTTTCTGTGACATTTTAATTATAATGATTTTAATTTTATTAGACTAGTAATTATTTTCGTATTGAATAAGATGTCATGTACTGTATCATGTAAAATGAGATATTATACTTACTGTATTTATTTTATTGTTAATATATTTTTCAATCAAATATAAATACTATAATTAAATTTAATAGATTTTATAAGATGTTATATTTAATAGTGAGCGACAAAAGTATCATCATTTGTAAATGGATTATCTAGATGTTTAAAATGAGTAGGTGTGCTCATTATTGGCCTTAAATATCCATTCATTATTAGTTTATGTATATTTGTGTCCAAATCGCATATTAATATCTGTCCAACCGATCTCTGGCAACCCGTACGGCAACACATATTCAGCATTGTTTTATACAAATTTATAAAGAGCTTATTTGACGCGATTTCTCACTCGAAAACTTAAACACATTTATAATGTAAATTGTATGAGTGGGCATTAATGACCAATATAGCTAAAAATGTGCCGCGCCCTTGATTGTAGCCGTGGTGGTCACCCGATGTTTGGTCACTTATCGGCAGTGTTGAAACTGGTTCGGGACTCTGATGCCTAACATATTGGCTAACCATATGTTCATAGGGTAGGGATGCAGGGAATAGACTATTGAAGATCACCTAGAGATGTTTAGGAATGGCTAGCAATTAAATTAACGGTGTTTTTACATTATTTCAATGCTAAAAAATTCCCGGAAAATGTAATTTTGAAAATAAAAACAAAATTAAAGTTTAATAACAAGGGGTATAAAATCTATACCCACACTGCTTTCAACCCTCATATATCCCCTACTGATTACCACAGATATCAATCATTTCTAATGTCTGTGAGAGAAATGGTATTAAAAATGGCAGATGTCATCAAATCAGGGGTGTCACCAGAGTTTGGTCTTAAAATCAAGTTTAATCTTCAATTAGGAAATTGAAAAATTGGTGACACAATGGGGGGTAATAGATGATTAGTGCAGTGAATAGACCGCTGATCAAAGTTTATTATCTTAGGAATAAAATATTTACAAACAATGATACCCCCATCGCTCACTATTAAATATAACTCCTTATATATTTGTATATAAAATAAATTGCACCGTCAATCAATAGAAAATACATGTAGTATTTTGTTATTATATGTGTGTAGAAATATAAATGAACTAAATATGAATTAAAATTGTTTATAAATAAATATGTCTAGTTTGAACGTAAGAGTGCATGCTTGATAATACATTTTGTACAATATATAACTGGATTAGAACAATACAATATTGTATTTTTGTAAATATAAGTAAAGTATAATAATTTGTAATTAATTATAATAATAAATAATTATTTATGCATTTTAAAAGTTTAATTGTACAGAATAAAAGCTATTATAAATATTTTAACAGATAATTAAACAATGTTTCTTTACAATTCCAAAACAAAATTATAATATTACATTTAATGTTAGACACAATTAATCATGTACGTACAACTAATTCTCTCTCTCTCTCTCTCTCTCTCGCAAATGATAACGAGATTAAGAAATAAATTTATGGTTTAGTTTGCATTAACTGTATTAACATAACAGTAAACGTAACAACACTTCCGACGAAAGCAAATACAAAGCGTCTGTCGATTGCAAACAAACCAAACGCACGGTATTTACGGTCGCAATAGCCGTACACTAACTGCTCGACCAATAGGTGGTGAGTGTGAGCGTCGCGGGCGCTGAACGGACGGCCCGTTTGGCTCAACCGGTAGAGCATATCGTTGACAGTCGGGCGACAGGACTGCCAATAGTCGACGACAAACACATACAGGAAATCAATGAACAAAATCTGCGTAAATTCAGACAATCCCTGAACGATGTTATACGTGAGTGACTTGTCTTTGTTGACAGTGATGTGTGTGAGCCGTAAACATGTGGTCAGATAGAGCTCACTGAACAGTAGGAACGGGAATACGCCAAACACCCGGTTCATCGACTCAGTCAACGTCTGACTACTGGTGACCGCTTTGTTTAAACGACTATACAGTGTGTCGACCGGCAGGTGTGGGTCACTGTCTTCCAGAGCCTTGATTACATCCCTGTCCAACAGGTGTACAGCGTATGACACCTGTATTAACAGCACTGGTATAGCCGTTAGCCAACCAAACATCGCCAGCGACCAGTATATGTAAATGACCAAGTCCAGTGTGTGTTCAGTGAATACGTCAAACAACAGGGTGATCGCCAGGTAGAGTGACCAGCATATGGCGAGTATTATACCGACGTTTCGCACGCGCTTACCGTCTGATTCCGGCAATTGATCCGCGATTTTGCGCAGAATATTCCGGATTTCACGCAATTTATATTCAAAACACGCGTAAATCGCGCCGATTATCATCTGTTTGGTGGCCACGGATATGATGAACAAACTCTTGTAAATGTCACCAACGGATTGGTATTCACGGACCAAAATACACATGTGATATAATTGACCCACAATTATAACTATTTTGATGATGATAAACAGCACGCGTTTCATAAAGTGTATGTCATAGCTGTTTACTATATCAAAGCCATACAATTGGTATATTATACTCAATGGAAAGTAAATTGACATTTTAGACATTTCTAACATGTATTTTAAAAACTTTATTTAGAAATTATTTTACAGTCTACATAAATATCTGATGTGTTGCATACGAAATAAGTGTTTATTTTTGAAGTACAATGTTATGTTTAATATTTTAATGCTTTTTCTCGATATCCCTTTAAGGTATTAATATTTCATTGCTACCAGTAAATGTTTTCAATTCCTGGTAGAATATTCATCAATTATCTATTGTATTAAATATTTATTGTTAATTTTTATTAGGTTGTTATTTAAAATAACTAACAAAAACTATTATTAATGTTGTATTAATAATAAAATAGGAATATAAACTTATTCAAATTCCATATGTATAAATAAACATTATAAATTTATTTATTCATTAATATTAAATCCTTTAAAATATAATTCACAATAATAGAAATGTTCATACACCTAACACGTGTATATTTTTTAACATAAATTGTTGCTACTATTCTTTGTATATAATATATAGTTTTATTATAAGTAATGTACAATTAACTATTATGTTGTTAAATATAACATTATTAAATACATACGTATTGTATATGTATATATATAACATAACATAGGTATTGTTGTTAAGTGTGGTTAAACATTTTTAATTTACATAAATATACAACATGATCATGTATTTTACAGGAAATAAAATTGAAATAAAACTAAAATAAATTAATAGATAAAATTCTGTATATTATAACAAAAGATAAATATTATTAATTAATTTTGTAATTTAAGAATATATAAAGAAAAGTCTCTCTCTCTCTCAATTGTTCACTCTTTCTTTATCTCAAAAATAAAAACTGTAATAAAATAATTAATATAAAATTGTGAGCATAAATAAAACACACCTAAAAATGTTTGTATAGTTTTAAGTCTAACATAGTTTATAAGAGTGTAAATGTATTGCAATACAAAAGGGCTATCAATGAGAGTGTAATAAATATGAGCTCAAAGAGTGTGTATAAAAGGACTATAAGCATAATGTACCATGTTATAAAACAGCGCTGAGAGCGTGTAAATTGGTCGACCACAAATATGATCATGATCAAACATGATAGCCCAAGTCCTTTTGTTATAGTTTAACCATATAATTTATATTATAATTATTTTGTTTTAAAAATCTCTCTATCTACATTTATGATTTGGTTTGCATTAACTGTATTAACATAACAGTAAACGAAACAACACTACCGGCGAATGCAAACACAAATCGGCGATCGATAGCAAACACACCGAACGCCCGGTATTTACCGCCACAATAGCCGTACACTAACTGTTGGGCCAACAGATCGTGAGTGCGGGCGTCGCGGGCCGTAAACGGACGGCCCGTTTGGCTCAGCCTATAAAGCATATCATTAACAGTCGGGCGCCGACTCTGCCAGTAGTCGACGACAAACACGTACAGGAAATCCATGAATAAAATCTGCATAAATTCAGACAATCCCTGAACGACATTATATGACTGCGATTTGACCACATCTTTATAGACAGTGATATGCGTTAGGCGTAAACATGTGGTCAGAAACAACTCGCTGAACAGTAGGAACGGGAATACGCCAAACACCCGGTTCATCGACTCCAACAACTGTTGACTATTGGTCACCGCTTTGTTCAAACGCTGGTATATAGACTGCGCCGACACCGTCGGGTGCGGACCCACTTCGCCGCTCGTGCCGTCCAATACATGGTCCAGATTTTTGTCCAACAAATGCACGGCATATGAGACCTGCAATAACAGCACCGGTACTGCCGTTAGCCAACCAAACATAGCCAGCGACCAATAGATCTAGATCATTAGATACTGGGCGTCCAGCGTGTGCTGTATGTATATGTCCAGCGATAGGTTGATCGCCAGGTAGAGTGACCAGAATATTGTCAGCCCTATACTCGCCCGTCGGCAGCGTTTGGCCAACGATTCCGGCAATTGATCCTCAATTTCGCGCAAAATATTACGGATTTCGCGTAATTTATATTCAAAACACACGTAAATCGTGGCGATTGTCGTCTGTTTGGTGGCTATGGATATGATAAACAAACTCTTGTAAAAGTCACCGATGGATCGATAGTCGCGAACCAAACTATACATGTGATAGAGTTGGGGCAGAAAGTAGGCGAGTTTGATGATGATAAATAGCACCCGTTTGATAAAGTGAGTGCCATTTTTGTTGATTATATCAAAGCCATACAATTGATATATTATACTCAACGGGTAGTAAATGCAGTTTTTGGACATTTTTTATCGTAATGTTTTTTAAATACTTGTTTATTTCAACAAAATAATATTAATAATATTTTAACTTAATATTTTATTTTTACTAAAATGAACATTAGATGAAAGTTTGGAAAGTTTATTTGCTGTTAATATGCGATATCCCATAGAGTTATTATTAATAATTTATTTATAATAGTTATATAAAATAATTTGCATGTATTTAATGTGTGGTAAAAATGTTTACAATAATTTCTATTGAATTAAACATTTTGAGTACAATTAATAATATAAGAAATGTGTGACAATTGTTTTGTTCACTTAATTGATTATTATAACTGTCAACAACCATAAAATAGACCAGGATTAAATTATAAATATAGTTACTATAATAAACATCTTAATAATTAATTATAAATTAGCATTTAAGTTATTGCTGTTCAGTCAAGGTGCTTTTGGCACATTGAAGTAGAAAATCCAATTGTCATAAACAACATTAAAATTATGTTTTAAAGTTTGGATTAAAAATTATTAATCATTTGAATGAATGAACATATTATACACAGAGGGTCAAATGTTCATAAAATTGTTGATAATCACAAACAAGATCAGAAATCTCATTAAAATGTGTATTTAATAATTAAATTTTGTTTTAAATGACATTTGTGGGTAGACTGAAAGCCAACCACCATAAAAATGGATGAGAAACTATTAGGTTGACCTTCATGTGGTGTTTCTTGTTTAATACAGACAAACCTGAACTTTTTACTGACCGTTGCGCCACCTATATATGACACACTGTGAATCTGTATATGTGATATTCTAAAAAAGACTGAACAGCAATAATTTAAGTTATACTAGTATTAAGCAATACAAAATAACTATTTATCATGTTTATTGGTATTTGAATAATAAAAAATAAATAAATAAATAATAATAATTAATAGTAAAAATGAATTTATTTTTAAATGATAATTAAAGGGATAATTGTAAAAATTATCGTATATTAAATTAAATTAATTAAACTTTAATTAAATAAATTTAATCTTAAAATATTATCATACAAATTAAATTAAATATTAATTAATAATTATCATTAGTTATTAAATATTTATTTAACGCTTGAAATACTAATTTAAATATTAGTCTAAAATTTTCCTATTCCTTGAAATACAATTTCTCTCTCTCTCTCTCTCTCTCTCTCTCTCTCTCGTTATCATTAGAGATATAGTGAAAACTATGGATAAAGTTGTGGTTAAAACTCGTTTTCACAGTGGCTTTAAAGTATAAAATGAACCAAACCTTGAATTTAATAGAAAAACACAATTAATTATAAAACCAAAGAAAAGTTTTCAATAAAATACTTTGAATTGAATGAAAACTTTCATTTCGTTTTACAATGTTTTTAAAATACACATAAAAATACTTTCTTTTGTGAATAAATAATTAATATTTAAATATAAATTAAATATATTATAATAAACGTTAATAAAAATTATTGTGTAAATAACTAAATTTAATAGAAAGAAATAACAGCTTGGTTAGTATTTAAATTTTATAGTATTATTAATTATTTTAAACAAATATTTAACTTTAATTTTAATATTTAATTTTTAATTTAATTTAGTATTTAATCAAAAATAATGTGTGTTATAAATAACGGCAAACGTTTTGATGGCTCACAAAAATACATTTTAATTCATGAAAGTAATAGTAATGTTAATAATTTAATTAATAATACAACAAATACTGAGCAAATCAACACAAATCGTGGTAACAATCAATGGATTTATCACTACATATGGAATCGCAAAAACTTTATGAATTCATTAATTAAATACATAATTAATTGTATTAAATATTATTCACATTCGTTTAACATAGCGTTGTATTTATTATATGTATTTTATATAAATCAATAATTTATAATAAAAATAAAAGTAAAGTTTTATTTATAAAACAAGACAATATTTTTTTGACACAATTATTGCAATGCCATATTTATAATGTACTTATATTATGAAATGTGACCCAATTTTACTGTAGAAAACTTGTATTAGATTTACAATGAAATAAAATATTATGCACAGTATGTACTGAACAGTGCAAAAAGTGGGTGTGTTTATGCAATATCTTATATAACCAAAATAAATGCACCTATTTCTGTATGGTATACAGAAAGACGCTAAATATTAAAACAAAAAAATACAACATTTTACTTCAGTAACTGAATAAACATAACACTAAACGAGACGACAGTCGATATGAATGTGAATATAAAACAGTTATTAATAGTGAAGACATTCCACGCCTTATACTCGCTATTCATGTAATTATCAATCATTTGTAGCGTTAATACAGTGTTTGCGTTACGTTCGAGACATTCAATGAAACAAACGGTAATTTCGTGTTTCGTCGGCCGTCGAGATTGAAAGTAATTGACGGCAAACACGTAACACGTGTTATATATCTGTATCAACGCGTACTCAAAGAATATCTGTAACAAATCGCGTATATTATGGGACAGTCGGCCCTCCAAACCGATTAGGGTTAGCCGACAACACGTCGATGTGAACGACTCGCACAGCCATATGAATACCACAATCCCATAGACATTGTTAACCGATTCTTTCAATGTCTGTAAACGTAATAAATCTCTGATAAACTCATCATTAGAAATACCATTTTCTATTGTATTAAATGACAATTTGGTTTTATGCGTGAATTTTTTGAACACATTTTTCTCATATAAATGAATGCCATAACAGATCAGGATTAATAATAGACATGTAACTAAATACCAGCCCATAAAATAGAGTGCCCAGAGTAGGTGTTCACCGGGAAAAACGGGTATTTTGTGATCCCGATTGTAAAGTAACATAAATACTGTGCCATCGATTGCCACCGTAATGAACCAAATGATAGCAAAGCATATTGATAAATTGTTAATTGATTTTTTATCACCAATGGAGAGATTGGCGATTATATCGGATATAATAATTATGATTTTACCATAATTACAGTTAAAATAAATATAACTAATTAAGCTTAGAATTGCTTTCAAACAAATTGATAACACATGAAAATATTTATCTTTTAAATAGATTGAATCGATAATAGATGCGATGACAAAAAACATCATACAGGATAATGTAATTAATTTAAATAATATTTGTTTACATTGATTAAAATAAGTAGTGTTTGAATTATGTTTGAAATACAAGCCATAAAATGAAAATATTATCAAAATAGGCAATAATGGGCGATTATTATTATCAGGCATATTAGTAATAAACTAGAGGTTAACTAATTAATAGTATAATCGAGAGAGAGAGAGAGAGAGAGAGAGAAGGAAAAGAGAGAGAGAGAGAGAGAGAGAGAGAGATGTTGTAAAATGAGCAATGAAATTTTATAACTTGCACACACTGTCGAAGTTGCTAACAAGTAATGTTACATTATCTCTACCCTACAATTACAAATAAACAATTAATATTATCCTTTAGCTCCCGGGCCATTAAACAGGTTTGCTTGTACATATTGCTTGTATATACAGTAGTATCCCGATTCATGTACACCAAAAATGAGCAAAACTAGAGATGAGCAAGGTAGTAAATTTGCAAATAAAATCTGAAGTGGGTCCAAACAAGGTGTGTGTTCAGATTCACTTTAATTATT